TCAACGGAGTACTACCAGCCGTGATCTACCCTGTCCTGCAAGGATATCTCAACGCTGAAGGAACCATCGTTGTGTCCGCAACGTTGTTGGTGCAACTACCGTGGTCATACAAGGTGTTTCTTGGAGTTCTGAGCGATTGCTTCCCGATCGGTGGCTTCCGTCGACGACCATACATGCTGATAGGATGGCTGCTGTGCTGCTGCATGTTATTCATGATGGCGGGTTTCCCCGAGGCTGAACCATACTACGGAGACCCAAGCATGCATTTCTCCAGCCCTGACGAATGGACGGAAGCTCAACGCAAGAGTATTAACCCTGACGCGCCTGACGCAGCAGGAAAATACGTGATCCCCATGATGATGGCCGCCTTCGGATATTTGCTAGTCGAGGTTCCCGCAGATGCCGTAACTATCGAGTACTCCCAGCGTGAGCCAACCGACAGCCGTGGACATCTACAGTCGTGGATCCACAGTCTTCGTATGGGATTCAGCGCATTGGGAGCCCTCGTCGTTGCAGTAGCGTTTAATGGCGTCGAATATGGCGGCTCCTTCGACTTCTCGCTCACATTTCCGCAGCTAATGTTCTTCATGGGCTGCTTATGCTTACCGCTCGGACCTGCTGCCTGGTTCCTTGTGCACGAGAACGAAGTAGAGCCACCTAAATTCAAAGCATACATGGCTCAATTCTGGAAGGTGCTACAGAAGCGAGCAGTATACCAAGTGGCAGCATATAAGTTCTTCTCGGGAGTCTTCAACAACTTTAACATCGTGTCTTCGAGTAACATCAAGCTGTACTGGGTCCACGCCACACCGTTTAACGCTAGCATTATGGCCATCGTAGGGACATTGACGTACGCTGGAACATTGGCTATCATGGCTCAGCGCGGTCTACGCTGGAACTGGCACGTTGCTATCGCCGCTACGGTCATATTCGGTGTTGTCACGGACTGTATGATGACGATGCTAGTGACATGGGACATCATTCGCAGCCAGTGGTTCTGGCTCGGTGTCCCCGTTATCGGAGAGGTTCCACATGCTGTCCGCTTCATTGTGAGCAACTATATCGTTGTCGAGCTCATTGAACAGGGAACCGAAGGCGCGTTATACGGATTGTTGACGACCACAAACCACGTTGCTGCCCCGTTCGGCCGCACGACTGCCAAGATCATCAACGCTCGCTTCCACGTCTGGAAGGACGATATCCTGGCCGATACGTACGAGACGCGCCGCGATGTGACCTACACGATCTGGCTCTGCTACGGTATGAAATTGGTGTCGCTGATATTTTTGCCGCTACTGCCGAACCAGAGGGATAGCACGCAAGCGCTACGTCGCCAAGGAGGCGTGAGCAAGCGCAAGGGCATGTGGATGGTCGTGATCCTCATGGTTGCTTTAATATGGTTCACTGTGGTGAATGTGCTGAGCATGAACCCAGCGACAGAGTGCTGGGCGATCACAGGAGGCTGCGAGCCTGACTCCGATGATCCCGCCGACCCACTTCAACTTCAATACTTTATTTGATTGGTCAATATAACTCTTACATTTCCGACCAATCATCTATCATTATTCTTGTGGACATGCTACGAGCTGTCTCGACACTTCGCCTCAATATATACCTAAGTTATCATGAGATACTAAAGTACCATCATGAATTCTTGGATACATATTGTTTCTTGTTTCGGGTCGATACACGAGAGCAAGCTCATGCATGCCTAACGACCTCGGAGTAGGCATCTCCGGGCACTTGGGTCGGAACCCAAGTGAGTAGTTCTTCATTCTTGAGAAAAATATTTCGCGCTGCGTTCACGTCGCGGTCGATCACAAGTTCACAATGGTTGCACTCGAATACTTTCTGACTCGTGATGCTGTAGTTGATTCTCCCACAGCACGAACACGTTTTCGTAGTGTAATGCTCTTCACACTCTACCATTCTTCCTCCACTGCGCTCCATTTTATACGCAAGCATCATCTTGAACTTGTAGTGAGACCATGTGAGCATAGCTCGAGATGTCTTACTTGAGATGCGCTTTTGCTTGGAAGTCATATCCGACGTCTGGAATGAAGGAAGAAGAACTTGTTTATAGTTCGTCGATAGCCAGCCGGAAACTTTATGATGCATGTCAGCAATCATAGCTTTCACTCGATTGAAGCTCTCGGTCAAACGCTTTTGCATACGGTAGCGTTTGCGCTTGTTAGTCTCCTTAGTGCGTCTTGAGATCAATCGATCGATGGTGAGATATCTTCGAAATATATACTCGTTGGCATCATTTACGCCCAATGTTAGACCGTCGGGTTCATACATGGTGATGAAACTACGTACTCCTGGATCAATAGCACACGTTCGAGTAGAAGTCGTTTTCTCAAAGATCTTCGAGCGTGAAATACAGAGATAGAATTTCTCATCTCTAGTTCGCTGGAGACGAACGGAGAACTGAAGCTCTGGCATCTTCTCCTTGATCAAAAATCCTTCATTCTT